ACTACGATTCCCTCTTTTCCTTATTTATCTCCCCGAAATCACCGAACAGCGTCTTTGCTTTAATGCAACTATTATAAAACTTCCTTTTGCGGAGTCCTTGTCATAATATCTCTTACGTAATATCTTCGTGTTGAAAACTTTTCCCTTCGTTCCCGTGTTAGGCAGCTAATGTGCACCCAGGTCCTGTTTTTTTTTTTTTTTTTTTTTTTTTTCCTCCCTCTCTAGTTTTTTTTTTTTTTTTTTATCCTTCTTACAACATTTCTTCCTCTTCTTTCTCTTTATCTCTCCGCTTTTCCTCCTCCTTTTCTTCCTTCTTCTCTCCTCCTCCTGTTCTCCTTCCCATAACAACTTCCCCCCTCACCTGCACCTCCGCCACCTCTCCTCCTCCTCCTCCTCTTTTCCCCTTTAACCTCACCTACCCGCCAGTCCTCCTCCTCCTACGCCTCGTCATCCTCCTCCACCACCTTCCTCCTCCTCTTCTTTTCCCCTTAATACTTCCTGCTTCCCTTTCCCTCCTCTTCTTCTCCTCTACGCCTTGCCTATCCTCCCTTCCTTTTCCCTCCTCCTCTTCTTTTTCCCCTTTTAACACTTCCGCAACCCCCTTCCCTTTTCCCTCCTCCTCCTCCTTCTCTCCTCTCCTCCTCCTCCGTTCCTCTTCTACGCCTCGCCATTCCGCTCCTTCCTCCTCGTCTTCTTTTCTCTTTAAACACTTCCCCAACCCGCCTTCCCTTTTCCCTCCTCCTCCTTCCTTACCCTTTCCTCCTCCTCCTCCTCCTCCTTCCTCCTCCTCCTTCCCCCCCTTCCTCTCTTTTCTTTTCCCCTTTAAACTCTTCCAACCCCTCTTTTCCCTCTACCTCTTCCCCTCTTCTCCACTTTAACCCCCTTCAGTCTTCTTATTTAAACCACTTGCCTGTTTCTCTTGTATCTTTGTCGGACTCGAGTATCTTTGCTTGTTTTCTCATTTTCTCCGTTTTATTTTTATTTCCTTATTCCTCGTTTTTTTCCGTTTGGTTCTTTCTATTGTCATTCTTTAATTTGCTGATTTTTATATGTTTTCGTCTTGTTTTCTTGTTATTCCCTGTCTCTTCTTTTTTTCTTTTTTTTTTTTTTTGCTCTCTCACTCTTTCTCTTTCTTTCTTTCTCTTTCTTTCTCTCTTCTCTCTCTCTCTCTCTCTCTCTCTCTCTCTCTCTCTCTCTCTCTCTCTCTCTTCTCTCTCTCTCTCTCCTCTCTCTTCTCCCTCCCTCCCTCTCTCCTCCTCCTCCTCTCCCTCTCTCCTTTCTCCCTCCCTCCCTCCCTCCGCCCTCTCCTCCTCTCCTCCCTCCCTCCCTCCCTCCCTCCCCCTCCTCCCCCCTTTCTCCCTCTCTCCCTCCTCCTCCTCCCCTTTTTCTCTCTCCTCCCTTCCTTCCCTCGCCTCTCCCTCCCTCCCCCTCCGTTCTGAGGAAAGAGAAGGATTGCGCCCGAGTTTATGGCGAGGAAGAGACGGTCTTTGCCCAAACTCGCAGCGGGTTTGGGTCGGAAGGAGACATAGCGAGGGGGGGGGGTTGGGTGGTTGTGTGTGTGGGGGGGGTGTTTGTGTTTGTGTGTTTGTGTGTGTGTGTGTGTGTGTGTGTGTGTGTGTGCTTGTGTTTGTGTGTTTGTGTTTGTTTTGTGTTTTTGTTTGTGTTTTTGTTTCTGTGTTTTGTGTGTGTGTTTTTGTGTGTGTGTGTGTGTGGTGTTGTGTATGTGTGTATGTGTGTGATATAGATATAAATAGATAGCGTGATAGGTGCGTAGATAGACAGATAGATAGAATGAATGAACAGATAGTATCGACCCCCCCCCTCCTCCCATCGATTCGTCTTCTTATACCTGATAAATCCGCTAATCCTTCTGAATCCTTCTGGGAGTAAAAAAGGAACCCTCACCCCCCCCTGTACCCTTCGTCCACGGAACTCCCACCATTCCCCCTCACCCTTAACCCCCTTCCCCCCTTCCTCACCTCTCCCCTCCCTCATCCTCCATCTTCCCATACTTACTCATCCTTTCCTACTCTCCATCCCTTTCTTCGTCTCCATTCCTCTTTCTGCCTGTCCCTCTCTCTCCTCCCCTTCCTCATCCTCCATCCCCATGCACCCCCCCCCCCTCACCCTCCTCCACTCATCTTCCTCCCCTCCCTGCGTCCTCCACACCCTACCCCTCCCTCCCCATCGCCCCACCTCCCTCCTACATCTCTGGCTCTACTCCGCCGCTCCTCCTGCCTTTCCTGTCTTCCATCTCCCTCCTTCTCTCCTCCTCCATTCCCCCTTCCCTCCCTCTCCCCTCTCTCACTCTCCCTCCCACCCTCCTCCGCCCGCCTCCTCATTCCCCTCCCCTCTAACCTTCCCCCTTTTCACCCTTCCTTCTCCCCACTCCCCCTCTTCCTAACCCCTTCCTCTCTCCTCTCTCCCCTCACTCCTTATTCCTCTCCTTCTCCTCCTTACATTCTTTCCTTTCTCCTCTCTCCCTCTTCTATTTCTCGCTCTTCTCCTCCTCCTTCTCCCTCTCCCTCCCTCTTCCTCTTCTGTCTCCTCTTCCCCTATCCCTAACCTTAAACCCCCTTCTTTTTCTCCCTTTTCACCCTTACTTCTTCTCTTTCTCCCCCTTACCTTTCGTTCGGTTTCATTATCTCTGTATTCCTCCCTTCCCCTCGCCCTCCCTCAATCTCCCTCACCTCTTCCCTTCCTCCCTCTCCCTCATTCCCCCCCTTCTCTCCCCTCTCTCCCCCTCTCTCACTCCCTCTTTTTCCCTCCCTCTCCCTCTTTCCCTTCTCCCTCTCCTCTTCCCCCTTCTTTACCCTCTCTTCCCTTCTTCCCTCTCCTCTCCCTCGGTCCCCTCATACGCCTCTCTCTCTTCCCCTCGCCCGAGACTGTTCTTGGGAGTCGATACGTCGCGCTGATCGGCGGTGGCTGTGGTGGGTGGGGGGGGGGGTGGGGGAGTAAGGGTGTTGGGGGCCTAAGGGTAAGGGTGTTGGGGGGGCTAAGGGTAAGGGTGTTGGGGGTGGAGGGTAAAGGTGTTTAGGGGGCAAGGATGTTTTTTTTTTTTTTTTTTTTTTTTTTTTTTTTTTTTGGGGGGGGGGTGTTTGGGGTAAGGGTGTTGGGGGGAGGGAAGGGTGTTTGGGGGGGGGGGGGGCAGGATGTCTGGGAGGGTAAGGGTTTTTTGGGGGCTCAGGGTGTTAGCAAAAAAAATGGTAGCAACAATGTCGATAATGATAATAACATTATGAATTATGATAAGATATTATGAATAATAATTATCATTTCATTAATAATAGTGATGATAATAATGATGATGATAATGACAATTACAATAATAATAATGATAATATTGATAACACTGATGATAATGCTTATAACAAAGAATAAAAGAAAAATAATATATAAAAAATAATAGTAGTAATATTAACAATAACAATATAATGATAATGGTAATGGGGATAATAACAATAATAGTAATTGATATTGATAATAGTAACGATATTGATAGTAATGACGAAATGATAATGATACTGATAATGATAATGATGACAGTGATAATAATAATGCCAGTAATAATACTGATGACAGTGATAATAATAATACCAATAATAATAATAATGATAATGATATAATAATATTAATAAAATAGATAATGATAATAATAACAATGATATAAAATAACAATGATGATAATAATAACAATAAAGATAATAATAATAACAGTTCTAGTAATAATAATGATGATGATTATAATGATAAAAGAGGATAAATGATGATAATAATAATGATAATAATAATAACAATAATAATAATATAATAATAATAATAATAATAATATAATAATAATAATAATAATAATAATAATAATAATGATAATGATAATAATATAATAATAGTGATAATGATAATAGTAATACAATAATAATAAATATTATCTTAATAATGAAAATATTATCAACATTAACAATAACAAGATCAAAGTGAACAACAACAAAAACCATCATAACTGTAAAATGATGCCAAGCATATCACGCCACTTACACCCCCCCCCCCTTTTCCTCCTCCCACCACCAACAGGTCGCATCGCGGGCGAAATGTACGTGTTGTACGTACGGACAGGCCGCCCACAAGTGTACAACAGCGTCAGCCACGGACCGGGCTTCAAGTTGATGTACTACCAGCGGGCTGTGTGTTCCCTCCTCGCAAGTCTTCGGGTCAACTCGCCAGCCCGCCTCATGCCCCGGCCGCCCATGCCCTAGGTAGGTGCTGCTCCCGGCCGCCCATGCCCTAGGTAGGTGCTGCTCCCGGCCGCCCCCTAGGCTGCCGGCCGCCCATGCCTAGGTAGGCCCATGCCCCGCTGCCCGGCGCCCATGCCAGGTGCTGCCCGCCATGCCTAGGTAGGTCTGCTCCGGCCGCCATGCCTAGGTAGCCCATGCCTAGGTAGGCCATGCCTAGGTAGGTCCCTGCTCCCCGCCGCCCATGGCCCTAGTAGGTCTGTCTGCCAACGGCGTTTTAGGTGCTGCCCCGGCCGCCATGCCCTATGGTAGGTGCTGCTCCCGGCCGCCCCACCTGTAGTGCTGCCTCCCCCGCCCATGCCCTAGGTAGGTTGTGCCCCTAGCGCCCAGCCCTTAGGTAGGTCCTGCTCCCGGCCGCCATGCCCCTAAGGTAGGCTTGCTTGCCTAGGTAGATCCTGCTGCCCGGGCCCTGCTAGCGTGCCCATGCCTAGGTAGGTCCTGCTCCGGCGCCCACTGCCCTAGGTATGGTGCTTGCTTCTCCGGCCGGCCCATGCCCTAGGTAGGCTGGCTGCCTCCCGGCGCCCATGCCCCTAGGTAGGTCCTGCTCCCGGCCGCCCATGCCCTAGCCTGTCCGGGCCGCCCATGCCTTAGGTAGGTGTGCTCCGGCGCCCATGCCCTAGGTAGTCCTGCTCCCGGCGTATGCTGCTGCTGCCGCCCATGCCTTAGGCTGCTTGCGCCCATGCTAGGCCCGGCCGCCATGCCTAGGTGCCCCTATGGTAGGTGCTTGCTCCCGGCCGCCCATGCCCTAGGTAGGCTGCTGCTGCCTCCTGGGCTGCCCATGGCCCATGCCCTAGGTAAGTCCTGCTCCCCCGGCCCGCCATGCCCTACGGTAGGTGCTGTCCCGGCGCCTGCCCTGCCTCCCGGCCGCTCCCGGCCTGCCCCTAGGTAGGGTTCCTGCTCCGGCCGCCATGCCCCGCCATGCCCTAGTAGGTCCTGCTCCCGGCCGCCATTTTGCCCTAGGTAGCGTGCTGCCTCCGGCCGCCCATGCCTAGGTAGTTGTGTCCCGGCCGCCCTGCCTTAGGTAGGTCCTGCTCCCGGGGGTCCTAGGTGTGCTAGGTTGCCCTTGCCGCCCCTATGCCCTAAGGCCGCCATGCCCTAGGTAGGTGCTGCTTCCCGGCTCCCCGCCCATGCCTAGGTAGGTCCTGCTGCATCCTGCTAGGTCCCTGCTCCCGGCCCGCCCATGCCCTATAGGTGCTGCTCCCGCCCGCCCATGCCTAGGTAGGTCCTGCTCCCGGCCCGCCCATGCCTAGTAGGTGCTGCTCCCGGCCGCCCATGCCCTAGGTAGGTGCTGCTCCCGGCCGCCCATGCCCTAGGTAGGTCCTGCTCCCGGGCCATGCCCTAGGCTCCCGCCGCCCATGCCCTAGGTAGGTGCCGGCCGCCCCGGCCGCCCATGCCCTAGGTAGGTCCTGCTCCCGGCGCCCATGCCCTAGGTAGGTTGCTGCTCCCGCCGCCCATGCCTAGGTAGGTCGTGCTTCCGGCCGCCCCTTGCTTGCCTAGGTAGGTGTGCTCCCGCCGCCCATGCCTAGGTAGGTGCTGCTCCCGGCCGCCCATGCCCTAGGTAGGTGCTGCTCCCGGCCGCCCTGCCCTGCTGCTCCGGCCCGCCCATGCCCTAGGTAGGTCCTGCTCCCGGCCGCCCATGCCCTAGGTAGGTCCTGCTCCCGGCCGCCCATGCCCTAGGTAGCCGCCCACGCCCTAGGTAGGTGCTGCTGCTCTACGAAGGGTGAGGCGTTATTTATTATTATTATTTTTTTTTATTTTTATTATCTTTTTTTTTTTTTTTTTTTTTTTTTTTTTATTTATTTTTTTTTTATTTTTTTTTTTTTTTACTAAATACGTCATTCGTTCCAGTTTCGTGTCTTTTTCTCTGTTTATCAGTCTTCCTTTCTTTTTTGTAGTTCTCCAAACACAAATAAGCACACACACACTCACTCAAAAACGTTATTATGTTCATTTTTATCATTATTATCATCATTATCATCATCATTATAATTATCATATCATCATTGTTGTTATAATCATTATTACTATTTTTACTATTAATATTAGTGGTAGTAGTATTTTTATTATTATCATCATTATTATTATTATTATATTATCATTATCACTATCATTCTTATTATCATTATCATTATTGTCATTGTGATGATGATGATGATGATAATGATAATGATGTTATTTTTATCATTATTACTACCATCATCATCATATTCATTATTTACATGGCAACCCGTAAAAGGGGAAAATTCAGAAGGAAGGTAGGAAGAGAAGAGGAAAGGAATAAGGGAGAAGAAATAGGACACAGGAAAGGGAGAGAAAGGGGAATAAAGAAGAGAGGGGTAAGGGGGTAAGGGGGGGGGGTTATGAGAAAAAACGGTGAAGACGGTGAAGAGAGAACAAGAGGAGGACGGGGGAGGGGTGAAGGAGAGGGCAAGGAGAGAGGGTGTTAAGGGAGAGAAGATGGATGGGGGAGGGGAGAGGGAGAGGAGGACGGGGGAGGAGTGAAGGAGAGGGCAGGGGAGAGGGTGTTAAGGTAGAGAAGTAGAGAAGATGGATGGGAGGGGGGTGAGGGGGAGAGGGTGAAGGGTTATGGGAGGGAAGAGGGTAAGGAGGTAAGGGAGGGAAGGCTTCAGGGGAGCTTAAGGGGAAAGTGGGGAGGGTGGAGTGAATTTAAGGAAGATTTAGGAGCGGGGAAAGGGGGAGGGGAGGGGAGTGGCAGATCGAGAAAGGAAAAAAGTGGATGTGGATAATGGGAAAATGAAAGAGAGAAGAAGGGGATAAGGGAGAGGGAAAGAGAAGGAAAAAATGAGGGGGGTAGAAGAAGGGTAAGAGAGGAAAAGAGAAAAGAAGGAGTACCTTTTTTTCTCTCTTTCCTTTTTATTATGTTTTTTTCTTTCTTTCTTTTTTCTTAGTTCAATATTAACAAATTGTATAATCATGGTGTCTCAAGATCGAGTATTTTGATTTCCAAACCTAATTAGCGCACAAATGCATAACTCGTGGGCTACACACACACACACACACACACACACACACACACACACACACACACACACACACACACACACACACACACACACACACACACACACACACACACACAACACACACACACACACACACACACACACCCTTTCTCAGGATATATACATAAACCATCACCCACGAGTTGATAGAGATCTCTAGCTACGACATACACTAAAGAAACACACGAAACCAAGATGATGCAGGAGTTGACATATACACACACACAAAAAAAAATAATAATAATAACAATAAATAAATAAATAAACTAAAAAATAAAAATCAAACACAAACTAGACGACTTCGATGGGGACTTCCTCGCAGTCACACACAGCCCCCTATACGCCCACTATGGCCCCTCCCACCCGCCCGCCTCCCTCCACGCTCGCCCCCCCACCCCACCTCCCTCCACGCTCCCCCCCCCACCTCCCCCCACCCCATCCGCCCCCACCCCCACCTCCTCCCCCCACGCTCCCCCCTCACCCCCCCCCCCCCACCTCCCTCCCCCCCCCACCCCCCCCCCCCCCCCCCTACGCACGAACACAACTGACACATTTCATTAGAGCGATTTCAAAATCCAAATAAAAAGCAACAACAACCGGTGTCAGTTGTGAATGACGTGTTCATTAATTCAGCGTAATTTTGCGTTGTATGAAACGACACCTCAACGGAACAGCGAGAACAACGAAAGAGTTAATGAGTGCATCAAACATGGTTTTATTCCAACGCTGGGGAATGAGTTATGTTGGGGAAACCATGTGTCAGTGTGCGTATGTCAGAAAAACCACCGTGTTCATGTGTCAGAAAAATGTCGGAAACGTGTGTCCGTGGAAACCGTGTCAGAAATGTCAGAAAAGAAATCGTGTACCAGAAACCGTGTGTCGGTAATGTCAGAAACCGTGTCAGAAACCGTGTGTCAGAAATCGTGTGTCGGAAACCATGTGTCAGAAACCGTGTGCCAGGAACGGTCTCGGTGAGTGAAAGGCTGCGAGAGTTCAATGCGAACAAAATTAGGGGGAAAAGTTCGTTTGTGAGCACGGGAGGATATGAATGTATGAAAGAAGAGGAAGAAGAAGGAGACAGAGAGACAGAGAGAGAGAGAGAGAGAGAGAGAGAGAGAGAGAGGGGGGGGGGGGAGAGAAAGGGAGGGGAATGGGAATGGGAATGGAATGGGAGAGGAAGAGAGAGTGAGAGAGAGAATATATATATATATATATATATATATATATTATATATATATATATATATATATATATATATATATATATCAATGATTTAACAACAAAAACCGAATGACGCATGTATGATGAGTAATGTGATCGCGAGCTCAGGATTACGAAGAACGAGTGAAAAAAGAAAATAAAAATCGAGGGTCAGATGATGGACCCGACATTTTTACCCCTATAATTCTTTTTCGTTATTGATAGCGCCCCGAAATGTGACCTGAAGAAAGGTTGTTCTTTTTCTCAGGTAAATGATGAGACGTCTTTTGGAAAGAGGATTTTTTTTTTTCATTTTCTTTTTTTTTTTTTTTTTTTTTTTTTTTTTTTTTTTTTTTTTTGGTTGACTCCAAGTATCGATCTTTGTGAGCGATTTTGAATGATGATTTTTACTTCGCTCTAAGGCATGCATTGCACCATGGTGTATGCTGTGATATTATTGATCGCTGATTATAATGCTGCAGTCGAGTAATTATTTTAAAACGATCAATAACAATGTTTGTTGGTCAAAGTGCTTAGCAAGATTTTTTTTTTTTTTTTTTTTTACTATCTCTTGTATGGCTCATACCACAATAGTAATTACTTCCATTATTAAATTGTCATTTGGGATTCATAATAGCTATACTGCTTTATCCTTTCAACCGTCATGATTTTTTTTCTCTGTAACTGGAGTGTCCTAATTCGCTTTCATGAAAATATTAATGATGATAAATTTTGACTCGAAGTGTTTTGTTTACACAGAACCCCCCGACTACGACCCTGGTCCGCTGATTGAGGAGTCCTACGCCTACGCCCGAGACAGCCAGGGCGGCGGCGACGACAACCCCTACTTCGACGACTTCCTGGGGGACCTTCCGGCTCCCGACTTCAGTTCTCGCTTCAGTGGTCGCATCGGAGAGTCAGATCAACGGAGCGAGAATGGGACGACTCCTTCACACGCCCCCACTCGGCTCTCTGGGGATGACCAGGTTGCTGCGACGACAAGCAGTGAGGAAGCAACGGAAGGTCTAGTCGGAGACATCGTGGAGGAGGCGCTGGGGGACACTCTTCCGGAATTAGGGGCTTCCTTGGGCCTCCTCCTTCGGGATAAGGAAGGGTCGCGGGCGGAGGCGCTCGCTCGCCCCGCCGGTCAAGAGCTACCCCAAGGCCATGTCGCCAGGAAGGCCGACGAGCGCTTCCTTCCGGGTGCGAGGAAGGCCGTCGTGAGGAAGGCCGGAGAGACGCCCTACGGAGACAGCTTCGTCGTCTCTCTCTTCTCCGATTTCCTTGCCGGGGCTTCGGACGCTTCAACGCTCCGTCCCCGAGCGAGCAAAGTGTCCGAACTCCAAGATGAAGCAATGGGAATTTGGGGCGTGTTGGGGGAGGAGGAGGGAGACCTCAAGGCGTCGCCACCAACGCCCCAGAGCAGCAAAGCCCGAAGACCAGACACTGAGGACAGCCATGTAACCGCCGCCGAGAAAAACGATGATGGATTTTCAATCGAAGGCGGACGCGAAAGTCAGCATAATCCATCAGGTGGCAATAGCAGGGTTCAAGAATTCGACAGAGCCTCTGACAACGGTTTAAACTTCTCACGGACGAGTGACATATCGAACATCGATGGAGGGAGCGAAGACCCAGATGAAAACCGATCTGCTCTCGATCTCCTCTCCCGGGCGGCCGTCGCCCTCGCCCCGGGAGCTCTTACGCAACGCCGGGTGTCAGGTCCCGAGGAGAAAGGAGAAGACGGGAGAGCAGCGGATGAAACGGAGGGAGAGGAAGAAGAGGAGGAGAAAGAAGGGAAGAGAGAGGAGGATATCGAGTCTATTGTGCCTGAGATTTCGCCCGGAATGTTTGACGAGATCCCGCCTCGACCAAGCTCATCGGTCTTTTCCAAGGGCAAGGACCGGATGAGGCCGTCTCCCCGCCCCTCATCCGGCAGCCTGACTCCATATCCGGCTGCGATGAGGCCCGTGGTCAGACGGGTGCGCGACTCCAAGACTTCTGACACTTTCATCATCTCTTGGCTGTCGGGACTGTCAGCGCCGCCGTCAGTCGAAGGGCGTCCTGGCAGCGGCGACACATCTGATGGAAAAGCGATGCGCGATTCCCGTC